AAGATGCTAATAAAAAAAATTTTTTTAAATTATATAAATATCCACTATTTTTAAATAAAATTTTAAATAAAAAAAATTTTAAATAAAAAAAATTTGAAATAAAAAAAATTTTAATTAAAATAAAAAATATACGTAGGCAAAACAGATTCTACTACCTACTTTTATTTTATTTCTTGTATTACAGTATCACCGACGAGATAATTATTAAAGACGGTTGGTCCTGGGCAAATTTTTGATTCATTAAGACCCGGAAGTCCGAGAATAATTGAAGAACCATGATATTATCGACAATTAATATAACAAATTTCCGATTTAACACAAATATTTGGATAATACAATATTAAATTCTTGATTTTTTTATTATATAAATGTTGCATAAATAAGTGTGCATACTTGTAATGCTATATTATCTTATATTGCCGCAAAATTCCAATTTTTTTCTCTACAATTATCATTCCTATTAATAATAATCAAAGTCAGACAATAAAGTTTATTAATTTTAAATAAAAATCGAATATTTTGAATTTAAAAGTATACACATGTCTACAAAACTAATAAATCATAAAATTAGTACTATACCAGTTTCTTACTTTTAATTACATTTTAACAGTCACGCGAACTTCCGTAAGACCGGATGTTTTTAATAGTATCTCATTAGTAACAGTATGTAAGAAAATTGCTATATAAAAATATTTTATTTTTCAATGATCATTAATTTTAAATCATGTAATTATTTATTACTTTTAATTACAACAAATATTATAGTTTAAAATTTTATATATATATATATATCACAATTATATTATTATTTACTTAAAATTATCACACAAATGCATCTATTTAAAATTAAATAGATACATTTATAAATAAAATATTCCAGAAATCTTATTTGTTTTTAAATAGCATCACGTAGGAACAAATCTCCATATTACAAATATTTAAGCAATTATTACATTATTCTAAAAGGAATTATTTCAAAAGAAATTACAATGAATAAATGCTCTTTTATAATTTTATATAATTTTTTGGAACTTCGAGTTACTACATTTTTATCTTCTGGAAAGATTTTCAAAAACTGGCTCAAAAATTTCTTGTCCGCAACTTCTATATAGGTATAAGCATTCAATATGGATTGTAATTCATTATTTCGTACCTGCCAAATCGGTTTGTTGTCACCATCGATGGCGCCAAATTCTCTCTCATGCGCTCTAGTGAGCACCTGCTTATATAACACTTCGGCATCTTTATATTTTCCTTGTTTCAAGTAACAAGATGCTAGATTGTTTTTCGTTTTAGCGACGTTTGGGTCATCCGGTCCCAGCTTAACCTCATAGATCTCCAATGCTCGTTGATAATAACGTTCCACCTCTTCGTACTTGCCTTGATTCTGGCACAGTAGTGCCAGATTATTTAATTGCTTTGCTACATCCGGATGATCGCGACCTAATACCTTCTCGCGGATCTCTAGTGCTCGTTTGCATAGGGGTTCAGCCTCCTTATATTTTCCTCGTTTTCCATATAGCACTGCGAGGTTGTTCAACGTTGCCGCTACTGCGGGGTGATTTTCACCTAACGTCTTCTCTCGAATGGCTAGAGCATCATTCAGAAGATTCGCAGCTTCTTTATATTTGTTCTGATCTCGATATACGAGAGCGAGAATATTAAGCATGGTTGCCACGTCAGGATGATCATGACCAGAGGTTTTTTCTAGATCTTCCAAAGCTTGTTTACACAGGGGAACCGCCACTTCATAACGGCCTTGACTCGCATATTGGATCACCAGATTATGCAGTGTACGCAAGCGTGCCGGTATCTCATAGCCAGCATTCACTTGCTGAGCAAACTGCGAGGGCGGAGTCGGAGATATAGCTTGAAAAATACAATAAAAATCTTTGTTGAAGAAATAGCTATGCAATACTTATGAAGTTCTATTTCGCATTTAATTCATCTAAAAGTAATAATTAAAAAATTTAATTTGTATAATTAAAAAAATTTTAATTGCAATTATTATTATTATTATTATTATTCGTTTATAATTTTCTACTTATAAATTACTATTAAATTACTTGAATTACTGTATATATTATTAATTTTAGTAATTATTTTTATAAAAATTTAAATTTCAAAAATTTTCGAATTTTGTGATAATTCAAAGATAGATAGACTTACATTTGCTGTTGCGATCGTCCGTATCATCATCAGGAAAGAGATCCACCACAGGATCGTCCTTAGGTCGATCCTTAGCATTTTCATCTTCTGTTGATGGATCCGGATCGTATTGTCGCATACTGGCCATAAAGTCTAAGTGTCTCTTTTCTTCTTCTAATTGAGCAACCTGCGAAATACATTGCAAATGTAATAAATTTGCAACTAACTAAAATAACAAATTGTTATAATAAAAAAATTATTAATAAAAAAGGGTTTTTCAATTATTAATATTTTTATGATTATCACTAAAAATTTTCCTTGCTTCTGTGCGAAAAAGCTTGCTCGAAAATGTCAAGTATTACAATTCTTGTAAATCATGGACACAAGATATCTATGATTAATCAGACTAAAGACTGTCATCTAAATAATTTCTTATTCAGTGTTCGAGAGCGTAATAAATGCACAGTAGGTAAATAGTGAATGATAAAAGGTGTGAGTGTGAGAGATAAAAGGTTTTAAAAAGGTTAAGAGAGAGAGAGAGAGTGATAAAAGTCTGAACTATATGGCAATTTTAATAAAAGACCATTATTTAAAACTAATTTTAGATAAGGACCACAGAATTTTGCAATGTGATACATTTCCAGATTTGGCTAACGGAGTTTCAACATATCGCAAAACTCTTATGCAGGTGCACACTTTGCGAGCTGCAAGGAAGCAGGCTGCAAAGAAGATTGCAAATAAAATGCGCAAAAATACTTTCATTCCGCGAGTAACGACGATAAAAGGAATGAGCATACTTTTCGTTAACGAGCGTATTCCTTTGTTTAAAATTAATCAAGACTAACGTGTTATTATTTTCGAGATCCTGTAGTCCGCTCCTTCTGCGCAATTCTTTTATTCACGACTGCTCTTTTAATTTTATCAGTAGTCGCATTAGGCAAATAAGATTAAGATTGAATTGAAATTTAACTAATCAAAAAAATTCATTAAACTTGATATTCGTTTTCTTTTTTCTGATTGGTTAAATTTAAATCTAATCTCAATCTTCTATAGTCTGAACTACGAGCTTGAAAGAATCCAAACAAGTCGACACGTTTCCAATTTATTGATTTATTTATTAATTTGTTTCCCTTAAAAGGGGATTGTTATGTGCTTTGTTTGAAATGATTTGTTATCGTGGGTCATTTTTGTTTGACTTATAAGTGATGGCCTGCAATTGAACACCGCGGCAGCATCAACGCGTTGAATGTCATCATCAAGCATAGTAATTATAAATACTCAATTTTAATTTAAATACTCTCTGCACGGTTTCGATCACATAAATTTTCGAAAAAAGTGTTCGAAAAGTGGAATAAATTTTATACAGTATTTCATTAAACAAATATTTTATTCTCTATTTAAATACTGTGAAATTTCAAGACTTAGATAAAAAGTATGAAATAATTTACAAAATTTGTTTTTTACAAGTTAAAGAAAAAAAACCATATATATTTAATCAAAATATATTTAATTGTATTCCGAATTAAGTTTCAAACAAATTGAAGTTTTTTTGTGGAAAACATTAATTTTTAACATATTTATATATATTTGAGACTAATAGATAATACACTACTAATATATTAAAAATAAAATTAAAACGCTAAAATTTATGAAAAAAAATTCTTAAAATTTCCATTTAAATTATTTTTATTATACATATATCTACATAAAATCATTATCATATATGAACAAAAATACCATATCCGATCAAGACAATGTTTTGTGCCTAACAATATTTCTTGTGAATTTATACAATTTCCAGTTCACGTAAACTATGCGTTGATTATTTGTCGGTCTTAAAATACAATCCTAAACCGAAGCTGAAATAGTAATATTATAAATTAATTGACAAGCAATTTAATATTCTTGATGCAAATAAGCATCTTAGAAAGCTGTTAATAAGCTGTTAATTTAATGTTAATAAGTATTTTGAAAACTAAATAATTTATTGCGAAAAATCTTAACATCAAATTATAATGTTAATATCCCGTAACTTCGAAATTGTTCGGAATCGGATACATTTATTAAATATTTTCGACTTATTTTCATGTACTGAAACTGCTATAATTGCAGTTTTGATACTGTATGAAGAGACACTCTGTACATAACATTAAATATGCAGTGTTAAATTAATATTAAGATCAAATTATTAACAGCTTTCTAAAATGCTTATTTGCATCAACATTAAATTACTTGTCAATTAATTTGTGATATTATAACTCCAGCTTTAGTTTAGAACTGTGTTTTAAGATTAAATTCATAATTAAATTCACAATAAATATTATTAGGAATATTATGAAGAACCGAATATGGCATTTTTCACTTATGTGTGTTTAATTTCATCAGTCAATTTTCACTTAATAAAATCATGTTACGTTAATGAATTAGGATTAATAATGTTGTAATGAAAGTAACTTACAGCTTGCTCACTCGCTTGCAACTTCTGTTGTGTGCCGGCTAGCTCGTCTCTAAGCCAAGCGTTCTCCTGGCACAGCCTCTTCACCTGTGTCCTTAGTTTCTGCTTTTCTGCTTCCACCATCTGCAGATGACTCGCTAACGCTTGCATCACTTGCGCTTCGCCTAGGCCCAGGTCGATCATCTCGATGATTTTAGAAAGCAGACTAGCCTTGTCCCGAGCAGCAGGTGCGTCCTGAGACTGCAGGCCTTGTAGTAGACCACCATGTTCGACTCGGAGAGCCTCCAGACCTTGTGCGACGGTCCGTGCTCCAGCCACAATTTCCTCCTGCGTCATCGCCGTCATTCTGCCTATGTTCTCAATTTTTTTACTGAAAATAGAAACAAAGAAGGGAAATTTATATTTGCAAAACAAAAAGATTTCTTTTTTTTTCTATAGAAAATGTATAAATGTTCTGTTGAAAAATATAAATAGTCAATATGATACAAATATAAACACTTAATTTTTGTGTTTTAAAGAATAAATAGCAATTAGTTTTTACAAAAGAATGTCAATAAAATATTTCATCCTACGTATTTAGGTGTATACCTTATAATAAAATATCAAATATTCATATTATTATATTTTTGCAAAATGGCCGACGAGCGCCAAGGCGCTTCCGTCGCAGAGAAGGAAGTTGAAGGCCGAAAGTGCGAGGTCTCTAAATCCCGAAGGCAGGAGAATCGTTATAATGATAACTCGAGCACGCGATCGACACTCGATCGGGGTAAGTCGCGAGCAAAATGAAAGACGAGGACGAAGAGAGAGGACTTACCCCATGTCTTCAGGGCCGCGTTGAAGCTGTCTACGTGCTAGTCTAACGCGCGGTACTGTCGGCTCAATATTTTGACGCCGGCGCATCGCGGTACCGCGGCGCTCTCGTGATTCTGACAGAATCGGATACATATACAGAGCGATTCATTCGGAGACATATCTCAATATATTACTCTCTCTCTCTCTCTTACATGTCACAACAACAAAGATTTTATTTTTGCAAATTGCAATATATAATAGAATTTGTTAGAATCATATAATCATAAAGTCAAAATATCATATCATAGAATAAAATACAAATTATAATAAGAAAATATAAAATATAATAAAACCAAAAAATTAAAAACAATATTTTAAATAAAATTTTTTTAATTCAAAGTTCTACAAGACAGACTTTAAACGTTCATGATATATTTTATTTATATACAACACTATGCAATAAAATTTTTATCTATTCCATCAAATAGTAAAAAGACGAGATTTTCATTAAAATTAATATTTCAAAATCATCAAAATTTTTAATTTAAACAAAAATATATGTAAAGAATTGCGGAATGTAAAGCAGAATATAATGTTATTGGATAAATTAGAATAATACAGAATAAAATATTATTTAACAATTATAAAAATTAACTGCGATTATAGATTATTCTCTAATTATATTCTTTCTTATTTCAGTAGTTCTTGTTTCTAACTATTTAGCTTTCGACATTTGGATAAACTTAAATAAATATATTGCATATAAATGAATAATTAAATATTAAGAAAAATAATATAAATATATATAGTAACAGTAAAAGTCAACACGACAAATTCTATTAGTGAAATTACAGACAATGGCACATGTCTTTCTTTTCGCTTCTCTTATACCTATTTTATATTTAAAATGGAAAATATATATAACATTATTGAAAAAAACATAAAAGAAAAAGAAATTTGCAAAAATGTAGAAAGGCTATGATAAAAATCTTATAAATGTTGCAAAGATATCAGCTAATGATAGATCATTTTGTAATTCTGAAGGAACGCTTAACGTCTGTGACGTACAAAATATTTATATAACAAAAATGCATTTTTTTATGTGGATATGTCACAATAAACGTTCAATAAATATAATTCAATAAACATTAAAAATGTAAAAAATAAATTTTAAAATATCAATATAGAGTGCATTTCTACACTGAGAAAAAAATGTTGTTGATTCAATTAAAGTCTAAGTGATTAATTCATATATATTTTTATTGATATGAAGGCATAAATTATTATTTCAATAATCAAGGTCTTTATGTCAATAAAAATATACACTTATGTGAATTAATCACTTATGTTAGTGACAGCCCGTAATATAGATTTTAATTGAAGCATCAATTTAAACATATTTCAGCTTTGCAGTTGTTAAAATCTCTTGTTGATTCAAAACTTATAATTTTAAATCTCCTCAAAATTCGAATTCCAACAGTCACGGTTTTTCGGTTTTATGAATCGTTCTACAATACCAAGAAATTTCGCCTAAATTTTTCAATGTAATAATTGAAATATCAAATATTTAGTCTCTCTTCTCTTTCTAATAATATTACTTCAATTCAAGACTTTATGTAAAATTATCTGTTTACAATTTCTCTTAAATTATATAAAACAATTGAATTCTCTTATTACGGTATTTTTTATGAATCAGCCTGTAGAATCGTAGCGCAACTAGAAATTTGATGGTGAAGAGAAACGATCGCGTCGCTGCTGCATAATCGATACTGGTCAAGAGAGACCACCTTTTCTTTGATCAATTGTGAAACACTTTATTGTAATCGATATTGCACATATCATATATGATGTGTATTATTAGGCAATGTTTTCAAATTTGGTATTTCGATGTAAGACTATAAAAAACTAATTAAATAGTCTTTTCAATCGTACAATATCTTTATAGCTTTAATCAATTTGCCATTTATTGCCGATTTGTTGAACTATCCGTCCATTTGGAAAACTATCTTAAATATATTTATTATGGAATGACAATTAAGAAGCATTCTAATCAAATAGATACATCAATTCAAATGTGATACGTGACAGTTATATCTTAGTTATAACTACTGTTTTCGGCTCAGACGAAGTTAAATTTTCACGCACTCATAAACACCTTGACCTTCCCCAACAATCTAAGGTCAGTAAAACAGGTCTGGTAACCTCACAACAAGATCATTTGTCTGATCCCAATACTTCCGCTATTCAACCAGTTACGATCAGTACGACCTTAACCATTCAAAATAATAGCAATAAAAGATGGAGAGAGAGAGACCAACCTAAGTAATCTGCCTTGAATTTCTCTGGATTAATCGGCCAACTAATGCATAAACCATAAATTAAAACATATATATAAAGAAGAAATTAACAATCGAGAAATTCAAAATCTTAGAAACAATTTAAAAAATATTCTATAACAAGTTTTGTAGGTTAGGCTAGTAAGGAGTGGAAAGTTGGAAAAGTGAATAAAATTATTTACCTGTACATAATCATTTTCTTGAAGCTGTTATACGCTCTAAACAGTTTTCTGCTACTTAACCATCTTTTACATTTACACACTTTATATAATATATTCATAACACGTTAATCCTATTTTAGTATTATAAATAAAAAAATCGCATCGACAAGTTTATGTCAATATACAATTATTTTTAATTTATAGCAATTATAATTAAATAGCTAAAGAGCAATTAAAAAATATAAAAATGCGTATTTTTTTTTTAAGTTACACCTTTTATCGCAAGTATGGGTAAAATTTTCAAAGGAAAATTAATGAATTATTCATTATTTTGAAAAAGCAAATATTCTACAAATATTATAGGAATATATATAAAACAGCACCTCAGGGTCATTGAAAATTATCAGAAGAGTTATAGAATAAAAAGAAAAAGATTAGTAAATAAAAAAAGGAAGAACAGCGTGATAAGATCAATGACTACAGTTACAAAGAATACAGAAAGAATAGAAACAAAGAAGAAATAAGAATATAAATATGAACATAAAAGGATAACAGATGGATTAAATTACATATCCAATCTAATTTTAAGCTTCAAATTCAGTATATACTAAAATATAATATATATAAAAATAAGTACATACAGATGAAGTCCACTTAAGATGATCTATAATTTACATCAGCTTTCGGAATAAAACTGTTAATTCTATTTATATTTTTATACGTCGCGTATATATTTTGATGTATTCGTGTACTTTTATATTTGTATTTATACATACATATAAATATTTTGACTCTTTAATTGTTTTTCATATTACAATTTTTCAAATGTTTATGATGACAAATAAAGTAATGAACAGAATTTTATCCTGAACTCTGACATAAATTATAGGTCATCTATAAAATGAACTAAAGATAAAAATCAAATTTATAGAATTTGAGAACTAAATAATATAAAATTTCGTTTTTTTTTTAAATGGAAAAAAGGGAAAAAATCATTTGAGTCTAATTAATGTGCAACTATTGCATTCATAAAATGCTAATCGAATTTATTCTTTCGTTTTAATGCAGTATCGCAGAAAAAACGTTGTGTTCAATTTAATATACTTTCAGACTAGTTTGTAATAATAACTTACCATTATCTTACCATTTTCAAATTAATTTGAAATTAATCTTTTCATGCCATCGTACTTCGAAACAGTTTATTTCATACGAGGAAAAATATCAAAACTATAGCGACATTACATGTTTATGTTAACATGCAATAAACTGAGAAATTCGATACTGGAGTGTAGTAACGCTCATTATGAATTGAAATAATTTTTTTTTTTCCAAAAGTATTATCAAATTACAAAAATCAAATATAAGCAAACATCTAAGAATAAATAAATAAAAAAATAATAAAAATTAAAAAATAAAGAAAATGTTATCGTTCAAAAATCAAAGTTGAAAGTAATGAATTGTAATGACACATTAATCAATATTAATATTAAAATTCTAAATTTTTATTATATAACAAGAGACAGATTAGATGAGCTATAATTAACACGAGCTAATTTTTCTAGCAATACTGATTAATTATATATGACAATTTAGAAATGCTAAAAACGTATATACATACATATTGAAACATTTATATCTTTTTGAATGTTATCTAAAATAAATCTAGCACAAAATTTTAATTGTAACAAAACAACATTGATCAATTAATGTTAACATTATACTTTTCTAACCTTCATTTTTTGTGTGTGTGTGTGTGTGTGTGTATATATATATATAAAATTGTTGGAAACCGAATTATCATATGGAATTTTAGCATCAGATATAGCACCAAAGCAAAATATATTTTCAACAAAAATCTATATAATATTGATCAATATTTTAAGGTTTAAAAATTAAATAAACAGTATATGTGTACATGTATGCATTAATATTAAGAATCTTTTCATAACAGAAAGATACGAATTTTCGAAAATATTTCCGGAAATTACATATATCAGTATATTGCGCTCTGAACTATCGCAGATGAGCACGATAACGTCGCGGCGCCATGCGAACCGTCGATCGATGCTTGGCACCGACGACAATTGGTGCAATTTCTAAGTACGTTACATGGCAATCGGATATGAATGATTCTTATCATTGAAGAGTCAAACGTAATTTTGGAAACGTTCAACAGCTCACCATCGAATTCGCCGCAGAAGCTATCTTCCATACAACCATAATCACTACAGCCATTTTGCCAATCCCATATTTATTAATAAATTTGTCTGTTCTACTATGTTTTTTATACGTTTACACTTAATATGAAATAGATGCGTGTATCTCTACAAAACGAAGAAAGATAAAATGTAGATAATGCTATTAAAACAAACAGATGTATAAATTATGACAGTATGGAATTTTGGAAAATTGCTTATACAAGCATAGACAAAAAAAATCTATATTAGGGCTTGTAAAAGTTTTCTCTCTTCAAAAATACACTCGTTATTTCACGACACGATTACAATATTATAAATCTGAGCTACTTTATCACTCCAAGTAATCATAGAGAAATTATGAAAAAATTATTCAAAAAAAGAAGAAAAGGATATAAATTTTTTATGTCTACTCACATTC